TCTTTTTTCTGATTGATCCCTTTCCAGAGAAGTATTCAGGTATTTGTCTTCAATCTCATTAATTCTGTCTTCCATTGCATCAATTCTACTCCTTTGCCCTTTCAATGTGTTATCTATTCCTGACAATTTGGTATTAATCTTCTGGATTTCTAGCTGTAGATTTTGAATTATTTCTAATTGTTCATTTATTTTGTCATTTGTTCTTGAATTTTCTTCCAAAATTCTTCTATGGTTTTGTCTGTGTTTTCCTTGATCTAGCTCTCAGTCCTTTGAAGATACCTAGATATAATTCTTTTGAATTCCTTATGAGGGAGTTCTAATACTGCTTCTTCCTCAGGGATGTTTTGGGCCTATAGCCTGGTCCCTTGTTTCTCCTGCTTTATCTTGCTTCTTTGTGTGGACTGTGATGTTCTGTTGTCTCCAAGGCATTGTGACATTTTGTGTTTATATTGAATCGGTGATTGTATGTTGAAGTGACTTGCCCACGATTTTTGTTTTCTTTGTTTTGTTTGTATGTTATCTATGCAAGCAGGGTACTGTGCTGCACTCCTGTATTAGCTAGTAGACAGTACTTACACACTTACCACCTGTCTCATTTCCTGTTGTCAGCCTCTTTTATGTCCCTGCCAACCTTGGCAAACAGAGCCTATTCTTAGGTCCCTGGAATCCATAATGGTTGCTACTTGTAAAGATTCAAAATGGCCTCGGTCATTTTAAATATCCAAAATGGCTGCCATGTGTAAACAATCAAAATCGTTGTAACCTCCGGACAGCAGAAAGTCAACAGCTCAGGTTGTCTCCCTCCCTGCTGTTTCCCTTCCTAGTAATAGGCCACCAGCGCAGTCATCCCTGCAGCGCTTGGTGACCAGGGCTGATCTTTAGGTCAATTCTCACATCCCAACACCACTTGGAAATATTCAGGCTCTTGGTCCCATCAGAGCAGCTGACAGTCCACAACTCTGACCATCTCTGTACTCACTGTTTTCCTTCAGGTTTTTCCACTAGTTGGTGCCTAATCCACTTCTGTGTAGTTCTTTCGAAGCTTGGGGTTCCAGGATTATCTTCTGTATCTCTGTCAATTGGTTTTTCTTTTCTTTGTTGAAGAGGGTCTGTGTTGCTTGTCTGCCTATTCCTCCATCTTACCACAATATTGCACACAAGTAAAATCTTACTGAAGATAACTCAAAAACAGTTGCAGTAGTATATTGACAGAGAACTTCCAGAGATGCTAGCCAGATTCAGAAGAGAACATGGAACAGAGATATCATTGCTGATGTCAGATGGATCTTGGCGCAAAGCAAAGAATTTGAGACAGATGTTTACTTGTGTTTATTGACTATGCAAAAGCATTTGATTGTGTGGATCATAACAAAATGTGGATAATGTTGAGAAGAATGGGCATTCCAGAACACTTAGTTGTATTCATGAGGAACCTGTACATAGACCAGGAGGCTGTCGTTTGAACAGAACAAGGGGACACTGCATGGTTTAGAGTCAAGAAGGGAGTGTGTCAGGGTTGTATCCTTTCACCATACTTATTCAGTCTATATGCTGAGCAAATAATCTGAGAAGCTGGACTAT